GTGTTGTGCGTGTGTGTGTGTGTGTGTGTGTGTGTATAACAAAGACATCCAAGACTTCGTGTATGTGTGTGTTTGTGGTTTTGTGTGTGTGTGTGTGTGTGTATAACAAAGACACTCAAGACTGTGTGTGTGTGTTCATGTCTTTACACACGAACACACACACACATATATAAATATATGCACATATGTATTTCTTTGTGTATGTGTGTGTATCTGTTGGTTGAGAAAGTAATAAAGAGAGACATGTTAAAAATTGCTTTAGTTTTCTGGCATAAACAACAGTAGGTACATGGCGGTACCTTTGACTGAGAAGAGGGAGCCTCAGAGAGGACGAGATTTGGATCCTTATCAGCAAATTTAGCTGTTAAAAGCTGGAGATGCAGAACTATGTGAAAAGGGTCAAGAAGGGCAAACCTACATCATCTAAATCTTTTTGCCTTTCCCCAACTCCCCACGTTTCACCATCTCATTTGGCACTGGACTATTTTGATTTCCAAGAGCCCAAATCCTTGCCCGCTCCCTCCTATCAACTGTGGTGCCTTCTTGGGTAGTCATCTACACAGGAGCCCCACCTCTGCTACCCTCAGCAGGCACCCACCATCAGTTCTTTCAACCGGAAAAACCACCAGATTAAGCAACTGATCTAAGATGAGGAGTAGTTGCAGTTTCCCTCTAGGAACCATCATCTGCAGACCCTGGAGTTTCACTGAAAATCACTGACATAAAGCAGATTGATTAGTAGGAGAAAAGGCATACAAATTTATTAAACATCTGTGTGGGGGCCTCCAGAATAAAGACCCGACCCAACAATAAGGTCCAGAAGCGTATGTACCATCTTGAGAGTATAGAAAGAATGGGAGCTTCGATCAAGGTGAAACAGGCTGTGAGGCTGAGGAGAAGAGGAATTCTATTGAGAGACAGTAAATGATTACCAGGGAGAATGATTGAATCTTGGGTAACAGCAACGAACTTGCAAATGATTCTCTTTTCAATTTAAATGGTCCTTGGAGACAGTCACTATCTTGAAAAGGGTTCTGTTCAGGTGTGGTTATATTTTTGGTCTTTTATCCGGTAATAGTGAGATAAGAGAAAGGAGAGAAATAATAGTTTTCCTTGGTGAGTCTTCATCCTAAGCAGACAAACAAACTTCATCTTATTTGGGAGACACAGTGGGTATGGGGTGTGTCAGAAGAACTTGAGGCTTCTTCCGTTTAGCATGTTGAAATGCAGTATTTTGGGGTCTGGGCTTCTGAGCCCCAATATCCCAATAATCGTTTTTAATTCCTCAGCTTTGAATCTGGGTCCCTGGCATGAAGCTCTGTGCCCTTGGTCCCACACATTTTCTTCTCAAACGCTATTTATCTGTTTAGGAGCTTCTGTTTACAAAGAGATTAGTGAGGATGGATGGGAGACTGTATAAATTATGGGCTGATTTTCAAACACGAAGGTGATAAATGAACAGATTTTCCCCCAGATTGCTGAGCAAACATCAGCGGAGCAAACTAATGTAAAGATATAATCGTGATTAATCTCTTGATTAAAATAATTAATCTTGGTTAATTCTGCATTTAATCATTTCTTTTTATCAATGTCTAACATGCAGCTTTATAGAAATATTCATTTAGACTAATGGATATTTCATTTCTCCAATTCATCTGTTTCTTCTGAGCTTCTAAATGCCTCAAACTCCAGCTCTTTCAGTCGTAGAAAACTTCATTCAAACGATCATAGCTCTAGGAAGAATGTTCTTTTCATAACCAAGAACTCTGCACAACGTTTGGCTAAAGACAAAAAGAGGGATGAGCCTCAGAGGATGTAAAAGAGACAGGAGAGCTTCAGGACCTGAAGGAGGCTATGCCGGTGATTCTTATCAAACATTTGCTCAGGGATTCAGAATTTTCTTCTGGCCATTAATTGCCTTTCATGGTAATAATGTCATGCATTTTTTAAGAATTTACAATTCATTCTTTCACTTCTACCATGTGACAATTCCTGCTAAGACACAGAATCAGCTTTCCCATTTTATTGATGAGAAAACATGTTTAGAGAGGTTAAGTGCCTTGCTCAAATTGATGTGGAGAATAATAAAGGCAACGACGGATTCTCAGATGCTCAGTGGTCTCTCCTAGTTTGATTACATAAGGCAAAACACAAAGGTGTTCTGGTATCAGATAAAGGGCTGTGACTTCTCGGTGTACATACTGAGGGAGGCTGAGCAAGCATTTCTTTTATCTCTGTGAAAAAGCAGAAGAAGCAGTAGATTATTCAAGCCTTTGATTTTTGGCACGTACATTCAGCAAATAGTTTTTGAGTATCTACTCTAAACCAAACACTGTCCTAGGAGTAAAAGTACATATCAGAGAACAACAAGAAAGTCTAATATGTGACTTCCAATCCAAGTGAGGCCACATGGATTTCACGTTGAATGCCTGAATCGCTGAATCAAAGCTTATCCAACACAGGTCTACAGGAATATATGACAGGAGAGGGGGTCAGGGAAAAGAGGTGGAGAGGAGAGGGAAGGGTTGGGTTGGGTACAGGGCTGGGAGGAGGTGAAGTTGCCCCCTCTCAGCCACTTGATGTAACATTACTCTCACCTGATCTATTTCCACTATAGCACTTTAATTTCACCACAGCACTTGTGCCATCTAAACTTACCTGATTTATTAATTGGTCTTCTTGTTTTTTGCCTCTCTCTCTCTCCACTAGAAAGTAAACCTCTGGGAGACATAAACTGTATCTTGTTCTTTGCTACATGCTCAGAATATGAAACAGTACTTGGCTCATCAGAGGCACTGGGTCAATCCTTACTGAATGACTGGCAGGCAATGTGTAGGGTCTGAACAACATTAACTAACACTGCCACATAGGCACACGTGCACTTAACATGTACCAAGCTCTGTGCTAAGTGCTTTACATGCATTGTTCCATTTTATCCTCACAGTATTCTTAGTTACCATCCCCATTTGACAGATGAGAAAATTAAGACACAGAGGAGGTTATGCTCATAGAACTACCACCCAGTTTGACTCCAGGGCCCGTCTTCTTGACTACTATGCCCTAATACCCCATGTAGTAGCCATGAGATGCTCTGGTGGGACACATTCACCCTACAGTGTCCTTTGGTGCTCAGTAGACCCTCAGAGACCCTCTGCCTGGTGCATAACCACTTCCTTGGGCTGGATGTTGCATATTCTATGGATTCTTCTTTTTTTTTTTTTTTTTTTTGAGACAGAGTCTCACCAGGCGCCAGGCAGGAGTGCAATGGTGTGATCTCAGCTAGACAGGGTCTCACCATGTTGACCAAGATGGTCTCGATCTCTTAACCTTGTGATCTGCCCTCCTCAGTCTCCCAAAATGCTGGGATTACAGACTTGAACCACTGCGCCTGGCCCATTCTATGGATTTTTATGTATTCACTCCTTTATAAATTATTACAGATTCAAAGCTATTATTCAATGACAAATAATCTCATTTATTTTTATTTTTATTTCTTTAGTAAAAACAGAAAGCAATGGAGTGTAGCAAAAAGATAGGCCTTGCCCACGATTGCTCTCTTCCACTGTCAATCACAGGTAGAGCAGTCCAAATGAGAATAGGCTGAGGACCCTGAGAAATCCTTCGGTGAGAGGAAAACATCACCACAGTGTAGGTGCACACTTGGGACTGTGTCACACACATATATCTCTTCTGTTTTGTGGAAGAAGAAAATGGCTCTGATTTAGGCCAATCCCACTCATTTTGCTAGTTTGGTATCTGAGCTTCAGAGAGGGAATGTGGCTTATTCAAGGCCACAGAGCAATTTCAGTGGAAACCCTATACAGGACAGTGTCTGTGAGGCCTGCCTCCAACACTGCAGTGCAGAATTATTCCGAATCATCCCTCTGTGCTGGCCAGACCAGTGATGCTTTTTCCATTGCTCCACCTGAATTCCAGTTCTCATCACAGCTCCTCAAAAACTCTTCCCCACCTTCCCTGAATCTGGCCCTTACTCATAGCTCCCCTTGAGCATTAGATATTGTGGGGCTTGACCCTCCCCAACTCTAATTTTAAAACAAGATACAAAGTTTCTAATGCAATTATAAAATAGATTTAAATGGTGTTGGGAAAACTGGCTAGCCATGTGCAGAAAGCAGAAACGGGACCCCTTTCTGACACCTTACACTAAAATTAACTCCAGATGGATTAAAGACTTAAACATAAGACCTGGCACCTTAAAAACCCTAGAAGAAAATCTAGGAAAAACCATTCAGGACATAGGAGTAGGCAAGGACTTCATGACCAAAACACCAAAAGCATTGGCAACAAAAGCCAAAATAGACAAATGGTACCTAATCAAACTCCACAGCTTCTGCATGGCAAAAGAAACAGTCATTAGAGTGAATCGGCAACCAACAGAATGGGAAACATTTTTTGCAGTTTACTCATCTGACAAAGGGCTGATATCCAGAATTTACGAAGAACTAGTTTACAAAGAACAGATTTACAAGGATATGAACAGAAATTTTACAAAAGAAGACATACATGAGGCCAACAAACATATGAAAAAATGCTCATAATCACTGGTCATTAGAGAAATGCAAATCAAAACCACATTGAGATACCATCTCACGCCAGTTAGAATGGCGATCATTAAAAATCTGGAGACAGCAGATGCTGGAGAGGATGTGGAGAACTAGGAATACTTTTACACTGCTGGTGGGAGTGTAAATTAGTTCAACCATTGTGGAAGACAGTGTGGCAATTCCTCAAGGACCTAGAAATAGAAATTCCATTTGACCTAGCAATCCCATTACTAGGTATATATCCAAAGGACTATAAATAGTTCTACTATAAGGACACATGCACACAAATGTTCATTACAGCACTGTTTACAATAGCAAAGACCTGAAATCAACCCAAATGCCCATCGATGATAGACTGGACAGGGAAAATATGGCACATATACACCATGGAATATTATGCAGCCATCAAAAACGATGATTTTGTGTCCTTTGTAGGGACATGGATGAACCTGGAGAACATCATTCTCAGCAAACTGACACAAGACCAGAAAATGAAATACCGCATATTCTCACTCATAGGTGGGTGTTGAACAATGAGAACACATGGACACAGGGAGGGGAGCACTACACACTGGGGTCTGTTGGGGGGAATAGGGGAGGGATAGTGGGGGGTGGGGAGCGGGGGAGAGATAGCATAGGGAGAAATGCCAGATATAGGTGAAGGGGAGGAAGGCAGCAAATCACACTGCCACGTATGTACCTATGCAACAATCTTGCATGTTCTTCACATGTACCCCAAAACCTAAAATGCAATAAAAAATAAAATAAAATAGATTTAGAAAAACATTTACCACCACCCACAATCTTATAACCTTAGTGCATTTTATTGCCACACTCTAACTGCTACTCTGCTTCTCCTTTTCTTGCAATGCTAGATACAGTCCTCTAGCCCTGCATAGGCCTCAGCCATCGGCCTCCCAGCTTGAAGTGTCCGCCAGCTATGCTACTGATGGGGGATAGGATGATACACTCTTGGATGGTGCATGAGATATCATCTAATTTGACTTTCTGCACATAGAGAAACAAAGGCCAAGAAAGGCAAAGGGAATTCCTCAACGCACACAGCTGGAAAGTGGCATGGTTGGGAACTGAACCTACCTTATCTTTCTAGTCCTATTTTTTTAAGTGTCCACATACATCTATTCTAAAGAAGGCCTTTTCTGGACACCAAAGTCCTCTGTCTTAGTCCATTTCCTGCGGCTATTAATAGCACGTATTGCATGCTATTAATATTAATATGAACAGAGGACCCAAGACTGACTAATTTACAATGATCAGAAATGCATTTTCCACAGTTCTGCTGGCTGCGAAGTCCAAGATCAAGTCACTAGCAGGTTTGGTGTCTAGCAAGGGCTGCTCTCTGCTTCCAAGATGGTGCTGTATTGGTGCAGAGGGAAGTTCATTAAAAAACACTGCCTTTTCACATGGCAGAAGGTGGAGGGCAAGAGAATTGAATGTTGAGCTAAGCCTCTTTTATATGACTTTAATCCCATTCACAAGGGAAGAGGCATCATTGTCTAATCATATCTTAAATGCTCTGCTTCTTACTATCACCAAACTGACATCATTTGAATTTTAAAGGAGATCCTCCAATGTCTCCTGGGGACAACCAAAGCTTAAAGTGTCCAAAACACCAGCAAAAACTCTCCCATGCACTCAAGGCTCAAAAGCCAGCCAGAGACACACTCTCTTGACTGCTGCCATTTGTAGAGTATCTATTGTGTGCAGTCTCTGCAGAAAACACAGCAAAATCACCTGCAATAGCCCTGTGGGATACATGCTATTATTCTCAGCCTGCAGGTAATATAACTGAGGAATAGCACAGCTAAGTGATTCACCCAAGGTCATACATAAAGTGGTTGGACCCCACAATGCATTTGTGTCTTTTGTCTGTATGGTTTTCCCTCTCTTAAGAGACAGAGGTTGAGACGCTGGGGTATGAGATTGAGATGCTTCTTGCTTAGGTACTATCTGAGAGTAACTTGACTCTTCAGATTAACCCCAAACCAGCACAGGGAATTGATGAAATGGGACAGAAGACAGAAACATTTACTTGCAGGGCTTGCTTATCTATCCAACATGTATTTCAAGAGAACTTACTATGAGCCAGCCCTGTGTGAGGACACAACACTGGACAAAGTGTGTGACCTAGGGACAAGGTTTAATCTATGCATTCCCAGGCTGAGGATGCTCTTAGGATTTTCTCTCTTTTCTCTTTTGACTCTTTGAAATCTTGCTCCCTTGTGTGGTTAATACCAGAGGGACCTAGTGCTTCCTTCTGCTTGATAGAAGCTATTTTCTCTCTCTAGAAAGGTAGCTCAAACAGTCCAATTTTAGTCCTTTGGAGAAACACTCTTCCCAAATCTCACGTTGCAGTGGCAAATCCTGTGGGCTGAGATCATCTGTGACTATCAGATAAGGCCCTGAGTCACTGCCCGACTGTGTTTAAAGCCGAAAGCTTCAGCCTTTTTCTACCTAGGCTTCCGGATGCTTAGAGCGACTTGTAATGTCTAGTTCATTGAAATTTTGCAGTGGTTTTTAGAACAAAATCCTGACACAACCCCTTTCTAACTCCAAGTGACTTTCAGAATCATAAGAATGAACCAACAATAGAAATGTCTGCCCTACTCCCAGATACTGTGTTTTAATGGGTTTGGGATAGGAGTGCATATCTGGGGCGGAGAGTCATTACGTTCAGAGTAATAAAATAAATGATTTTGCTAGGGAGTTCCTTTCTCATATCCAGTTTTTGATTTGATGGCAAAGTGGGCAACTGGCTAGGGATTTGAGCATTTGGAGGTCCTGGGACCAAGCCAAACACCATCTTGTCATTGCCTTAGGGGTTCTGCGAGGTTCTGAGCCGGTCCCTGCCCTTAAAGATTTCATGTGTTAATAAGCAGCATGAGGATTCTAAAGGAAAGACGAATTGTAAAATGATGCTGTGATGACATTTCCTTTTCTCCTCTGTCTTACCCCCAAAGAACCCAGATCTAAAAGGAAATCTCAACTCTTTCTGCTTCAGAGCCATCCCTGGCCCTAGCTTCTTTTTTAGTGAGGCATAAAAATAACAATCCTTTCCATTTGACCTAGCAATCCCATTACTGGATATATACCCAAAGGGCTATAAATTGTTCTATTATAAAGATACATGCACACGTATGTTCATTACAGCCCTGTGTACAATGACAAAGACCTGGAACCAACCCAAATACCCATCAATGTTAGACTGGACAAAGAAAATGTGGCACATATACAGCATTGCATGGAAGACTATGCAGGCATAAAAAACGATGAGTTCGTGTCCTTTGTAGGGAATTGGATGAATCTGGAAACCATCATTCTCAGCAAACTGACACAAGAACAGAAAACCAAACATCGCATGTTCTTACTCATAGGCAGGTGTTGAACAATGAGAACACGTGGACTCAGGGAGAGGAGCATGACACACTGGGGGCAGTTGCCGGAGGGCACTGGAGGAGGGATAGCGGGGCCCTGGGGGAGGGTGGGGAGGAATAACATGGGGAGAAATGCCATACATAAATGAAGGGGGAATAGAGGCAGCAAACCACCTGGTTATGTATGCACCTATGCAACAATCCTGCATGACCTGCACATGTACCCCAGAACCTAAAGTAAAATAAAAGAAAAAAAAATAACAATACTTGGCTCAGTTTTTCAAGGTCAGAAGAAGGGCTGTGAGACACTTCTCTCTGGAGAAGGAGAGGTGCAAGGTATGCCTCTTGGAGGCGGAGGGATAGGCTGCATGACCTCTTGCCTCACTAGCTGCAGATGCACTTGGAATTGTTCCACCAAAGCAGAGGCGGAAATTCTGCAAGTCTGCCTGAGATTGGCATCCTTTAATTAATCTCACAACCCTCCTTATTCAGGAGGTATAATTGCAGCTTTGAGAGCTATCAGATAAAGTAGATGTGGTGTGTCACTGGTGTCCAGACCCAGCCAGCTGTGTTGCAAAGGGGAGTACACTTTGGGGTGTGGAGCTGCAGGGCAGAGGGGAGGTGGGTTAGAGGACGTGTGTACCACTTACAATATTGATTGGATTCTTCCTGGCTGGGGACCCATCACCCTGTGGAGTCAGATCAATGTTCAGAGCACGATGCAAACTCATGCTGTGTTTCCACACAGGCACCGCCCCCCAGCTTTTGACAGTCAGTTGTTCAATCAATAAACAATTACTGGACACCCTGCTGTGTTCTGGGCACTGGCCTGGAGATTTATTTATCACTGCTAAGTTCAAACTGTGCATAGGCACTGGGCTAGTGTTCATTCCTTTGCAAATACGTTCTGAACCTCTCTAATGGTACCGACAATTATCAACCAAGGTAATACTAGATTTTTGCCAGGTGTAGATTTTTTCCAGGTGCTGTTCTAAATGTTTATGTATATTCAGGAATTTGATCCTTCTTACAACCCTCTGAGGGAACTACCATCGTTATTCAAATTTCGCAGATGAGGAGCCCAAAGACGGAAGAGGTCACAGAGCTGTAAGTGAGAAACACAGTGACTGAACCCAAGCAGTGTGATGCAAGAGTCCACACTCTTAACTACTCAGTGTGTGTCTGCACAGTGTTAGGTCCATGTCACAATATGGGAGTAAGAATACTGTTGCTTAGATTCTGCAGTGTAGAATCACATTGCCTCAGTCTGCAGCTTGTATCCACTGGTTACAGTCTGCATAGCTTCTTGCAAGTAATTGAAATTCTTTGTGCCTCATTTTCCTTATATGTGAAATGGGGGAAATAATAATTCAATATTTAGGATAATTGTAGGGATTATGTGACATAATATAGGATAAGTACGTGGTACTTTATCCAGCATTGGATGTGGCACATGGTTATAGGTGAGTAAATGTTGGTGATGATGATCATAATGATGATGATGATAATAATAATCATAGGTTAACCCTCAGAACATTCATAGGCTAGTCACAAAGAAAGAATTTCCATCTCTAAATGTTTTACATTCTAGCTAATTTGTGTGCAGTAATTGTGGGGGAGGTGGACAATCAGGCAACAGATATATGATTTTCAATAGGTACTTGAGAGCAGTGAATTTGTCCCGTTTTCCCTTTATCCTCAGTTCCTAAGCATGTGTTTCACAAGTAGAGACATGTCTCTTGAAAGACATGTTGGATAGATAAATAAGTCCTGCAAGTAAATGTATCTGTCTTCTGTCCCATTTCATCAAATCCCTATGCTGGTTTAGGGTTAATCTGAAGAGTCAAGTTACTCTCAGACACTACCTAAGCAAGAAGCATCTGAATATCATACAGTGAATCAATCAATCTACTCATTAATCAGGGGATGAAAATACCAGATTAGATGAATGTCTGGCATGTAATATTCCAGAAATTTTATAGAATCTGGTCTATGTTCAGGCTTATGCTTCTATCATATCAGTGTTCGTGTTCAGAGACAGGAGTGAAAATACTTGAGGCATCTTGAGATCTGGACCTTGAAGAACTGAGCAATGTGGTAGATGTTGGGGCATTATGAATAACAAGACATTAGAAAGTGCAAGATGTATGTGGAAGACAGACAGGGCAGTATGACTGAGACAGAGAATGCTATTTAGGTAAAAAAAAAAAAAAAAAAGGAATGAGACTGAAAAGGGAACTGGGAACATGAATGTGAAAGTCAGTTACAAGGCAGACAGGCCTCATATTAGTGACTGACATGATTTGACCCCACCCAATCCCCATTTGAATGATAGCTCCCATAATCTTATCTGTTGTGGTAGGGACACAGTGGGAGATAATTGAATCACGAGGGCAGTTTCCCCCATACTGTTCTCAAGGTAGTGAATAAGTCTCACATGATCTGATGTGAGTTTATGAAAAAAAACCCTTTTGCTTGGCTGTCATTCTGTCTTGCCTGCCGCCATGTAAGACATGCCCTTCACCTTCTGCCATGACTGTGAGGCCTCCCCAGTCACAGAGAACTGTGAGTCCATTAAACCTCTTTTTTCATGTAAATTACAGGTATGTCTCAGGCATGTCTTTATCAGCAGCATGCAAACAGACTAATACAGTGACTGAAGAGACACTGAGATGAGACAGAGAAGGAATGGAAGATTATAGAGGAGCTAATCTAAATATGAGCATCTCCTATTAAGTCCCCTGGTGTCTCCTCTCATCTCTCAGAACAGTTTTCTGTTGATCATCCCTAAATCTACCTTACCTCCCAATGTTGCTTCGGAATCTAGGGTCATTCCTGACAATGAGTCATCTGTCTCTCTCTCACTCTCATTAGTGAATAACTTAGAGAAGATTCTACTGCAACCTTGCCTCTGTTCTACAGGGACGTCTGCACATAGAAGGGGAAGCTGGGTAGAGATAAGGCTCCAATCATTTCTTTTTTTTTTTAAATTTTTTATTGGATTTTAGGTTTTGGGGTACATGAGCAGAGCATGCAAGACAGTTGCGTAGGTACACACATGGCAGTGTGCTTTGCTTTTCTTCTCCCCTTCACCCACATTTGGCATTTCTCCCCAGGCTATCCCTCCCCACCTCCCCTTCCCACTGGCCCTCCCCTTTTCCTCCCAGTAGACCCCAGTGTTTAGTACTCCCCTTTCTGTGTCCATGTGTTCTCATTTTTCATCACCCACCTATGAGTGAGAATATACGATGTTTCATTTTCTGTTCTTGTGTCAGTTTGCTGAGGATGATGTTCTCCAGATTCATCCATGTCCCTACAAACGACACAAACTCATCATTTCTGATTGCTGCATAATATTCCATGGTGTATATGTGCCACATTTTTCCAATCCAGTCTATTATCAATGGGCATTTGGGTTGATTCCAGGTCTTTGCTATTGTAAACAGTGCTGCAATGAACATTCGTGTACATGTGTCCTTATAGTAGAACGATTTATAGTCTTTTGGATATATACCCAGTAATGGGATTGCTGGGTCAAATGGAATTTCTATTTCTAAGGCCTTGAGGAATCGCCACACTGTCTTCCACAATGGTTGAACTAATTTACACTCCCACCAACAGTGTAAAAGTGTTCCTTTTTCTCCACATCCTCTCCAGCATCTGTTGTCTCCAGATTTTTAATGATCGCCATTCTAACTGGCGTGAGATGGTATCTCAATGTGGTTTTGATTTGCATCTCTCTGATGACCAGTGACGATGAGCATTTTTTCATATGATTGTTGGCCTCATATATGTCTTCTTTCGTAAAGTATCTGTTCATATCCTTTGCCCACTTTTGAATGGGCTTGTTTGTTTTTTTCCTGTAAATCTGCTTGAGTTGTTTGTAAATTCTGGATATCAGCCCTTTGTCAGATGGGTAGACTGCGAAAATTTTTTCCCATTCTGTTGGTTGCCGATCCACTCTAGTGACTGTTTCTTTTGCCGTGCAGAAGCTGTGGAGTTTCATTAGGTCCCATTTGTCTATTTTGGCTTTTGTTGCCAATGCTCTTGGTGTTTTGTTCATGAAGTCCTTGCCTACTCCTATGTCCTGGATAGTTTTGCCTAGATTTCCTTCTAGGGTTTTTATGGTGCCAGGTCTTATGTTTAAGTCTTTAATCCATCTGGAGTTAATTTTAGTGTAAGGTGTCAGGAAGGGGTCCAGTTTCTGCTTTCTGCACATGGCTA